GACATTATATGAATGACTATTAAATCTGCATTAAATAGCGTTTTTTCTTTGACATATCCCTGCCAGCCATTGGAAGAGAATTTTATCGCCTATCGCCCGGATTTCACTAAGTAACTTCCGCAATAGAAAATGCTGGCAGGGATGTGAATAAAAAACAAAAAAATAAATATTTAAGTGGCCCTATGAATGTGATTCAAACTCTGAATATAATTTATATATTGGAGAAACATTTGGTTTTATATTAGAATTCTTATGTAGTTCACTAATGTTCCTCGAAGGTTAGAGAACTATGTTAGAATTCGATTAGAAAACACAAGACATTATAATCCAATTAGTTTTCAACGTTAGAATACAATTACTTATCTAACCTTTTGGTCGATATCGAGAACGAAGGCTCCTTTTTGTAGAGTGCTATAATGAGTGTTATTTAATGAGTTTATTCAATCGTCTTATAACCTTCTACCTTAGTGAAACACATTAGAATTCAAATAGTTTTCTAATCATTCTCTAACCTAAATATCTGTTGGGAACTATCGGTTAGTCCTCGTATGCTTCAAGAATACCATGATAAAAATATTTATAAGCTACAACCGCTGAGAGCCAGCTTTAGAAATTCTGACGTTTGCTAGCATTTTTAAAATTTCTCTCGCCGTCATTTCATTTGTTGGTTTTCATTTTTACCTTTAAATATTTGTATCATGAAGAATACAATGCTGTAAATAAATGCCATGAGAAATTGTATACAATCAAAACAAGTGCCTTATCAATAAAAAATAGTTTAAGTTTGGGAATTCAAGTTACTGTTTTATTCAATTTACGCTTTTTACTGTATTGATTTTCTACAATAGACTTATTTAGTGATCGGATTCTGAAATACATTCTAGCTCTAAAAAACAGTTCTTTTACTTTTTGACTACAATTTACATGACTACTTAGGTCTAAGTGTTTCTTAAGATAATCTTTACATATATACAATTCACTGCCATTCACCTCATCAAAAACTGCTAGCAGTGCTTTCATATGCTCCATCAACATATCAGTTGGCTTTGAAAGTCCTCCTTCAGAAACATGATTCACCCAAGTATATGACGAATCAGTTTCTGGATTCATGCAGATTTCCGGATTATCTTTTCCAAGTTTGTGGCAGATGTATCCTGCCAAATTCTCCAAACCGTCGATGTTCAGGACTTCTAAATCTTCACTTTGCTCAGATACATCAGTGGAGTTCATCTCAACTGAGACCCGTTGTAACATGTTACCTAAGAATATATAAACATAAACATATGTATAGATAAACGAAATGACTTATTTTTTAATTCAATGTATCTCAGTTAACCTTTATGTTATTCTAAAGACTACATGTAGTTGTTTCAACTGGAAACAGGATGCTAATATATATATTTTTAACTTCCTTCTTTTAGTATGAGATTTTTAACGACAATATTGTTTGTCAGTGCACACATCGTCGCTACCATGCCAAACTAAAAGTGTGGGATTCGACACTTTGTTAAAAACAGTATTCTCTGCTTCTAAGAAAATTAGAAATTCGACGATTTGCCAACTTACTTATTCTAAACGCTTGCGCAAGGTATCAAATAGAAAAAGCATTTTTGCACATTCGATAGTTTGACATGGTAGCGACGACCTATACAAAACAAGACAAGATATATTAGTATTTTGTAAGTTTATTTACCGGTTAGAGATAAATAATTCCCTTCTAAGTCTGGGGTGTCGTCGACCTCAACGTTCCCTCCTTCAGACAATACACCTTTGTTGTGCCCAAGTATGTATGACCGCAGCCTATATTTAAACTCTTGGTGGTCAGGGTGGTCGTGAAGCTCTCTTTTCGATCTAATAATGCCAAAAAAAATTTCCAAAACATCTTGATTTAGGCGATACGTCAATATGTAGTCGATTTTGTATTTATCAGACAAAAGTAATTTCAACGCATTGTTACTTTGAAGGATACCTGAAAATAAAATATTATCGGCCTTATCGGGAATTCCATGTGAACAAATATTCCCAACATTTATAAAGCAAGACAAAAACAAATTTTTCTCAATTTGTTTTTGTTTTGCCTTATAAATTATAGGAACGATTTATTCACATGGGATTGGCGATAAGACTGAATATAATAAAACAAATAAGAAATACATTTAAATTAAAATTCAAACCAATAACCTTTTTGGACAAAAATCTAAGTATTACAATGTAAGTCATATATACATATGTATGTATTATTCTGGGTATTTAAAGCCAAACCATAGGCATGTAGTCGCTCCCTTACTCCTTCTTTGGGCACTCTGACATTCATTAAGTCAAACCAGTCATTCGTCTACAAAGTAAATGTTTTAAATGTGTATTTTTAAAAATTAAAATACTCGTTACTACTCACAATTTTAAAAAGTTTAAAGCATTCTTCCCAATTCTCGTCCTCTAATAAGCCCAAACTAGCTTCTCGTGATATGGCTTGAGCAATGGTGTGCGAGAATAATTTTGTAGCTAGTTTAACCTTTTGCCTTTCTGCTCCCGTAACAAGCAAATGATTTTTGAAATTTTGTGGGTGATTGACAGATCACTGGAAGTAAACGCAAAAGTTTGAAAATGATGTCCTTTTTAATTACTTTTCCATTTATGAGGAATCCGTGATCAACAAAATGATTCCTTTGCAGTTTGATTAAATGGGGAACATCAGCAAAAACTACAATTCTGTCCCCTTCATGTGAAAACCTGTAAAAGAAGAAACAAAAGTATTAATATGTATTTTCGGAATTTTAGAACTATGTCTAAATATATCAAGGCTTCTGCATATCCACTTCAAGCTCATTGTATAGTGCTCTGTTACTTCCACCCAAATCGCTAACAATGGCCACAACATCGTATCCACATTTTTTGACTGTTGGGGTATTCCATCGTCACGGGTGGGACATTTGTACAGCAAAAATAGTTTTTCTTTTTTAATTTAAGTATAAAGTACTAAGCAATTCTACATTTTGATAAAGCTACACCTAGTTCACTAATATACGAGTTATTACCAAATACGAAAAATATTCCAACTTGATTTTATATTGGAAAATTCTGAGCTGTTTCTTCCGTCACGGGTAGGACAAAGAAAAGACACTGCTTTTTGGAGAACATATATTTTAAGGAAAGTCTGTGAATTTACTTAACATTTCTATCTGGATTAGATGTTTTACTATACAGAAAAGAACCAGCAATCCCAACAAAGCACAAACCATAATAAGAATTATTTGTTTATTATTAAAAAATTCAAAATTCTCCTGTCACGGGTGGGACAACTTTTGTCACGGGTGGGACACGTACGATTTTCTTCATGAAAGGAAGCTTCTAGTGAGATCCATATCAAAGAGATTAGGTATGATAAATGTTAGAGGTCAAATACAAGATCAATTGACCTACTTTTATGACAGTGGAGTCATTGTAAGACGCACGATATACTGCTGACCCCAGGATCTATTTTAGGGGCAATAGTTATACCAAACGAAAGCTAGAAGTCGCCAGATTGATGTATTAAAATGCATGGAAGAAAGGATTATTTGCAAACGCATGAAATTTTATATGCATTTTCCTAATGCACTTCTGCACGGTGCATTTGATTGCAACGAAATTTCGAATGTGCCTTAATGATTTTCAAGTTTGTTTAGAATAGCTATGTATGTCTGACTAATACTAACTACAGGCTAAACATGTATATCGACTACTGTTATCACGTCGATAGAGATGTCTAACCTGCTGTTAGTGTTGACCAGACATTGAGTAACCGGCTTAAGAGTGGCTCGAGTTGAGTTATTTTTGGAAACTGATTTCATGGACAAATCATGCTCAAATTTAGCTATTCCTTAAAACCATAGAACGTCAGAAAAGATCTTGTGTATCGATGTCTAATCCGAAAAGTTATCTGCATTAGAATACTTGTAAGCAGATACATATGTATATCTTTGTCACTTAAAGGCTATTTATTGGATTGAATTTATAAGTTTCGCGAACTTCTAGATTTTCTTGGTTGGAACTTTTCAGGTAATTGTTAATATTGACTTTTAATTGTTGTTAAGCAACCCTCATCATAGAATTCTCTGGCGTCTCTAAGATAGTAATGCTTATCTTGACTTTTCGAGCTGGCCACGCGAAATTTTTTACTACATCGCTTAGCCCACCAACAGTATTATGGTGTTTAGTCAACCTGTACTTCAGAGTTTTGTGGCATTAAACATAGGTTTGAAACGTTAAACTTATTTTTTTATTGTTAGGCATCATTAGAAAAAAATTATAAATGATTGTCACGGGCGGGACACGATAAAACGTTTCAAAATCTCTTAAGTAGGTACTTATAATATAATAAAAGAAATGAAATAGGGCTGCTTATTATAAACACACTCTAGTTATGAAATTATAGAAAACTCCCTAAAGTAGTAACTAAGCAATACGAAGTTTAAAACTTTTTAGTCACGGGTTGGACATGCTAAACCGTAGTGATTTTATCCTATTATATAATTTAAATGCCTATTTTTCTTCAATGCCATATTGCTTCTTCGGGGCGCAGAAAGATCGAGACATTTATTCCCCCCTTCAAAAAAATAATAACTTTGTGAATACTTGATTTTGCAGAGCCTTCTATATTAAAATATGTTGTCGTTTTCAACTACTTTTCTAATGTTGAAGTTTTGAGTGTATTTACAGTGTAATAAAATAATATAAATAAATTTTTTTTCGAAAAAACGTTAATTTCAGGTATTGAGCATTGATTCATCAAGCATTCCATGTTCAATAAGCTACTCTACAATTGGACACAAAGTTTCACTTACTCATGGAATACCCCTGTTGATAAAATGTGCCAAAGTATATTTTTTGTCATTTTGCAGTCATACTCATAAAATACAGGCTGCTTCCATTTACATATTAAACCTGAAAGAAAATAAAGATTGACATTAATTAGATAAAATGCTGGAATTTTAGATATGTACCTCTCAACATTGCAACTTGGACGTAATTAACAGGAGGTAATGTGGCATCAGATGATCTGTCGTAGCAGAAAGCCCTTCGCACTTTCATCTCATCAAAACTGAGTGCGCAAGTTTTTTGCGCTTGTGTTAACTCAGTTGCTGCCGTCAATAATTTCGTCACGGGCTCTATGATACCTGGAGATATATCAATTTTTTTCGACCACCATTGAAGAGTTCGAACAGCTGGTAAGGGAAAATTATTTCTTTTCAAAAGCTTATATGCTTTTGGACTCGCTGAATACAGCGTAATGGACTTGGCAATGTCCTCCTCTTTCCAGTTCAACCGCTTGTTTCCACTTTTCAATTTTTCAATTTGCGAGTAAGAAACTATGTAGTATTGTGTGTAAAATTATTCATAGAGTAGCGGTACTTACCTGACCTTTAGTGAAAATGCAACCGAGCTTTTCTTCCAAATTTGCACGGTGAAATTCCGAAGTTTCGATACAAATCCTTAGGCGTTTTATCTCCGCCGACTGCTTAAGGTTATTTTTGTTCAAAGTTGAGATACTCTTCTTTAGTTTTTCTCTACAATGTTCATATAATCATGTACATTACTTAACATTGGTTTCAATTATCCAACTCACATTTTCACTTCCAATTGTTGAATTCTTTCCTCTTTCTCGTCAACGACTTCTTCCAGCATGGGTTGTAGTGCTTCTTCATCATGCTCAGTTCACATTTCTTCAACAAAACTAACTGGATTGTTTAACAGGGTTGATACAAGTTGCTTCCTTGAGCGAGACTCAATTCTTTCCTGACGCTCATCAGTCTTCTTTGAGCCCGTTGATAAAATGGTCGGAAACGCACTGGTTAGCAGCTTTGTAGGATTTCTGGAGCATAAACCTAAAATAATATTTGATATGTTTTATAAAATAAAGTCACTACAATATCGTTTCTCTTCTTACCCATTTCAAACTGCAAATTCCTTTCGAAATCTCCTGGTGAAAAGTGAACTTCACATATGCACGCATTTTTTACATTGATTTTGTCTTCCCGACGACAGAAATGAATCCACTTTTTTGCGAGGACTTTATCCTTAGGAAAATGGAAAAATCTACATTTATTTTCGCCTTTTTTATACCCGAGCGCACTTGTGCACAAGGGTATATTAATTTTGTTCACATAACGGTTGTTTGTAACAGCCAAAACGAATCGAGATAGATCTAGACAAATGTATACATAAATGATCAGGATGAAAAAAGAAATCGATTAAGCCATGTCTGTCTGTCCGTCCGTCTGTCCGTCTGTCCGTCTGTCCGTCTGTCCGTGTAAACGATGACTCGAGCAAAAATTGAGATATCTCAACGAAATTTGGTATGTAGGTTTCCCTTAATCCAAGGTAGGTTGATATTGAAAATGGGCGAAATCGGACTGTAACCACGCCCACTTCCTATATAACGGTAATTTCCAGAAATACGAAAACTGCGATATTTTAGTAACTACTGAAGATAATTCACTCAAAATTGATATTTACAATAACTTTTAGAAGAAAAATAAGAGTAATATAAATTTTTGGAAAATGGGAGTAGCCACGCCCACTTATGGTTACATGTGTATATGTTGGTAACCGCTGCACCAATTTCTTCCAAACTTGGCACAGTTGTTGGCCTTGATACAGCATCCTAAATGGCCGAAAATTAAAAAAATCGGACAATAACCACGCCCACATCCCATATAACGGTAATTTTCGGAAATACGAAAACTGCGATATTTTAGTAACTATTGAAGATTATTCACTCAAAATTAATATTTACAACAATTTTTAGACGAAAACTAAGAGTGTTGTAAATTTTTGGAAAATGGGCGTAGCCACGCCCACATATGGTTACATGTGTATATCTCGGTACTCGCTGCACTAATTTCTTCCAAACTTGGCACAGTTGTTAGTCTTGTTACAGCATAAAAAATCGCCGAAAATTTTTAAAATCGGACGATAACCACGCCCACATCCCATATAACGGTAATTTAGAGAAATACAAAATCTTCGATAAATCAGTAAATATTGAAGCCAATTTATTTAAAATTGATGCTTGCAACAATTCTTTACCAAGAAATACGTTAATGGTAAAATTTTGGAAAATGGGCGTGGCACCGCCCACTTATGATCACATATAGGTATATCGGTAACCATTCTACCAATTTGTACCAAACTCGGTGTGGTTATTGTGCTTGCCACGTTGAACGTTGAAAATTATTTAAATCGGACTAAAATTACGGTCGCTTTTCATATAACGGTATATTTCAGAATTGCTTGAAACTTCAATATTTCGAAATTTAAGGACGCTAATTTACTCAAAATTGATACACCCCGGCTTACCATCTAGCAGTAGGTTTCGGAAAGGTGATAAAACATATATTTAATACTTGCGCCGGGTATTTAATGTTCGGCCCCGCCCGAACTTAGACTTTTTTACTTGTTATTATTGTTATTATCACAACAGTATACTGAGCAACGCATTTTAACAAATTTTTCTTTTGAATAATACAACCGAAAAGCGCGGGCGAATTTCAGGTGTCAACCGTGACGTCTTCAAAACAGCTGATTGCAAGCAGACATGCGCATTGCCTAATCTTTTTCTCTATCATTCTTGATAATTAAGCACTTGATGAGTGTTTAATTCCTTTCCACTTTGTTTTCTTTCATTCAGCTGTCTTTGAAAAACAACTGACAGCTGGCAATGCTGCACATGATTCCGCAAGGGTTGCAGCATGTAGATTTTTCGTTTTCCGTAACGTAGCTACGAATTGCGAGTTACGAAAATTTGAGTTCTAGAATAAGGGTGTTAGATTCCTCCAGCGAAAGCGAAGGCTCGGATGTAGAATCAGGAGACATTAAAAAATGTGAAATAAAAGCTCAATTGAAGGCCTATCTTAAAAAAAACGAGCTCATCTCGGTGACAGTCCTCTCTATTGGTGGAAAACTAAACTTAAATACGACAAATTGACAGATCTGGCCCGCAAATATTTGAGCGCTCCACCCGCCAGCGTTTCAAATGAGCAACTGCTCAGTGCAGCCGGCCTTACATACGAGCCTATAACAAATCGCCTCATGGGAGAAAAGGCAGCGAAATTACTTTTTTTGAAATATAATATGTACCAGGGTTGAAAAATGGAAATTTCAGATTGTGCCTAATATCATAAAATAATTGCACCTAAATGAGACTGATTGTACTTAGAAAAAGTGACATCACTCGTTTGTAGTTTTTTTTTTATTAATTTTGCTTAAAATATAAATACAAAATACACTAATTTTTTTTGTAACTGAGCTTATATCTATATAGACTATACGTAGTCTAACGGGAATCGGAGAAGCTTTTTTCTGTCTAACTTTGACTACTAAAAAATATTGGCGAAAAATACAAAAGAAAACACTTTGCGAAGTTTACTTTTTTATCTAGCTTTTTATAAAACAACAGGAAAAGTCTGCTAATTTATCCCTTTAATAGGTGTAGAAAATAATGGGAATTTTCGCAAGTTAGAGCTGGAAAACTATCGATGGTCGTGGCCATCGATAGTTTCGATAGTCGATAGTCACAGCCATCGATAGTATCGATACTATCGAAAATGTCGACACTACACGACACGATAGTACTATCGATAGTTTTGATTAAAAAGGTCCAAAAATTTAACAAAACAACTTTTATTGAAAATGAGATCAGAATTGCTAAAATATGGCCATATTTTTGTTAAGGGACAAAAGTTTATCAACGATTTTTGGCTTCAAGCAGCATCTGCGCTCTGAAATTATTTGCCTTGCTTTGCTAAATGTCCCCTCCGATTTACAAGATGAAATAGGTACCGCCGGCTTTTACTCTTTCTGAATAATGTATGTATGTATGAGTGAAAACTATCGATAGTGCTTACAAAACCATCGATGTTTTCGATAGTCAGAAACCATCGATACTATCAATAGTGCCATCGATAGTTTTCCAGCTCTACCGCAAGTAACTTCGAAAGCATTTTAAATATATTTCCAAAAATCAAAAAGGGAATATGGGTCCAATAGCTATTGCCTCAACTACAGAAAATGTGAAATTTGAAGAAATCCCAGACATAAAAGTAATAGAAAATTTAAAAATGTTATCATATGCGGGAATCTTTAGCTTCTTTCAATAGATTAATAAATGCGTTCCAATAATTACAAAGGTAGAGGGTGTGTAGATTTCACACACATCTTATGGAAGAAATTAGTTCAAATTTCTAATATGAAAAATATAACAAGAATTACGAATTTGAGGATAGCTAAGTAAAGTGTTAATTTTTCGTAGGGGCTTTTCTAAATGCAATGTAAAATGTTTAAGAGAATAAATAATAGGGGTATTCTCGCAGTCTTGCAAATCCCTTGCACGGTGCCCGGTTTGCAAAGCTGTCCCATATGAAAACCGGTTTTTACCTTGCAATCTGTGCGCCGTTAAATTGCTTTGCAAGACTCAGAGAATACCCCTAATATGATTATGTTAATTTCTTCCTTTTGACCACTTTGGAGTGCAATGGGGTATAGTCATTGCGCTGGGTATGCAGTTACAGTTGCATGGCTATACTCAATCCCGACTCTTGCGTCCTCGTTCGCGCACTCTGGGCAACGTGAGCAACCCATGTGCGAGATGCGGTAACCAATCCGAGTGGAGCCTTGGGTCACGGCAGAAAGAGAGGGAGCTTCGGTGGGGCCACTCTGACTTATTCGGTTTAAGGGCTCACTGAAGTCTGCAGCGTCTGTTCACCAGTAGGTGCGGCTGCAAGCGGGTGTCTGCTTGGAGCAAGCGGCTTGCTATATAAACGTGTATTTGGTTGCGAAACCACCCCCATCCCAGCAATGGGTTGTGCGCTGGGCTTGGGACCCGCCACGTAAAAACCACTTCCAGTGAAGAAGCAAGGCAAAGCCTCGGATGAGACCCCCCCTTATGATGACGACCACGGCGAATGTTTAAAGGACTACGATTTGAGGGCATGCACCTGGAATGTCCGGACCCTTAATGGGGAAGGTGCCTCTGCCCGGCTGGTTGATGTCCTCGTAAGGACAAAAGCTGTCATCACCGCCATCCAAGAAATGCGTTGGACGGGGCAAGGCAAACAATGTCTGGGGCCTTGCGATGTCTACTACAGCTGCCATGTAAAGGAGCGCAAATTCGGAGTTGGATTTGTGGTGGGAGAGAGACTCCGTCGCCGAGTACTGTCGTTCACCCCGGTGGACGAGCGTCTAGCCACAATCCGCATCAAAGCGAGATTCTTCAACATCTCGCTCATCTGCGCCCATGCCCCGACGGAAGAGAAGGATGAGGCATCCAAGGATCTCTTCTATGAGCGCTTGGAATGCACGTACGAGCGCTGCCCCCCTCATGATATCAAAATCGTGCTTGGCGACTTCAATGCCAGGGTGGGCAAAGAAGGGATCTTTGGAACCACCGTCGGAAAATTCAGCCTCCACGACGAAACGTCCGACAACGGATTGAGGCTGATCGACTTCGCCGGGGCCCGAAACATGGTAGTATGCAGTACTAGGTTCAAGCATAAAAAGATCCATCAAGCTACCTGGCTGTCTCCGGATCGAAAACGAGAAACCAAATCGATCATGTTGTGATAGACGGAAGGCACGCTTCCAGTGTTTTAGACGTACGCACACTCCGAGGCCCAAACATCGACTCGGACCACTATCTTGTTGCAGCCAAGATACGCACCCGCCTCTATGCAGCAAAAAATGTGCGCCCAAATATGCAAGGTAAGCTTAACGTCGAAAAGCTGCAATCAGAACAGACAGCCAGCGCTTTCGCTACTCGACTCTCACACCTGCTATCAGAGAGCACTCTTCAACAAACCGACATATGCGAGCAGTGGAACCACATTTCCCGCTCATTAAGTACCGCCGCCGAAGAAGTAGTCGGATTTTAGCGAGCCCGAAAGAACAACTGGTACGATGAGGAGTGTCAGGAAGCTGCAGAGAAAAAAGATGCCGCCTACAGGGCCACGCTGCGATCGGGCGCAACGCGCGCTATGTGGGACCGCTATAGGGATCTGAAGAGGGAAGCGAGACGTATTTGCCGCAACAAGAAGAGAGAGGCAGAAATACGTGAGTGCGAAGAGCTTGAAATGCTGGCCGACAGGAGGAATGCCCGAAAATTTTACCAGAGAGTTAGGC